AAACGTGACTGCTTTTTTCTTGAAATTTAAGCTTTGACCGTAGACCCAAATTTAAGAAAATCACGACCACTGTAGACAACGACGACATCAATATTTTGATGAGGCTTGTTCTCTTCTTTCAAATGATATCAAATACAGCCGTGTGTTATTCCATTAACCCAAATCGATCAAATTCGTTGACTGGGCACCCTACTAACGGTATTTACTAATTACAACAAAAAGTTTGACTGATATTTATTCAGTGTTGTAAGTTCAATGCTCGTTTGTTACTTACAAAGTTCATATATTTTACAGTCAAACAGAACTAGGTTTCCTCTAAAAGATAGCCAGATTATATAGCTTTTGAACGCATGGAAATATACATCATCTTGCCTTTTTCTATCACATGATAGGTGTTACTTAATTAAAAAAAACTTGATGCATGTAACAGTTTATAACTTCAAAGTTATCATTCATCTGAGACAATTTCACATATCTGACTAATTCTTTTATGATCAGAATTTGATTCAGACAAATTCAGAATTACTGAAGTTGTTTTAATTGCTCTAAATTGAAAATCTAATTCAGATCATGTAAGGTATTATCTAGTTTCAAATACTACTGTTTATCCTCATATACTGTATATATCTTTATTCTTGTAAACCAATGATGCACAATGGTATAGAGACATGTGTAGGTGTTTTTTTTCCTTTTTACATCGCGATGACCTTGAGGTCATCCCGATGTATTGCTATCGCCTAGATTTCCATTATGTAAATTAGTTTTGGGTTTGTAACCGATCTATAAACATGATAAATACGCGCACATAAACGAGTGCAAAATAACATTCCTTATCGTTTGATATAAATACATCTCTTCAATGAATACTGATAAAAATATTTTTGTTTACAACATAAATTAATAATATGAAAATGTTTTGTAGTTAGATATATATATATATAAGTAAAAAATCATTGATAATATCAATGCACACGTACCGAAAAATTGTGTTAAAGCATGCGGAAGAATATCTCAAAGAACGTTTTGTGAAAATACCGTCAAGGACCGGTAACTCTGTAATTGATTTTGCGGGAAAATATGAATGCCTACTCGTATCCAATCTTAGAAAAATCGAATTTTTACAGAAAAGTGTCCACCATGCACTTGCATTGCACTATTTTTAGAATAGTAGAATAGAATGATATACAAATGGATTCAAATCATATATATATGTAACTGTTATTTTAATATAATATAAACAACAACTCAGTGTATACTGATTTGTATCACTACAATATAATAGTTATTACGGTGAAGTTGAATTTCCTGTCATTTATTCATCATCCACGCACGAACTTGTCTCAGAAAAAAATATATCTCTGTACATTAACCTCAGTTTTAGGTAAAGAGATATGTTGTTTTTTTCTGAGACAAGTGCTTTCGACCATCCTCAAGAACTTGTGGTCATCCGATGTTCAGTACTTCAGTACTTTGATTTACTCAAAATGTGTTTTATTTCTGCATGTTGATCATAATTTCTTTTGATTAACAGCTAGGAGACATATGTTTTGTGTGAAAAACAAGTTCTAATTAAATATGAAATTGTCATTGTTTAATGCCTTTTATAAATAAACTGTTCATTAATTAGTTTCTGCCATGCCTGCATGGGTATATTTTCATGAATTTTTGTTGTGTGATTTTATATTTGGGTGTAACTAAAGATGCCAGCAAAACAAGTTAATTCTTTTTAATGACATAATTTATTTTTACTGTTCTGTTTGTTTACTATACAAGAATGAAGATAAAAAATAAGGAGGTAAGTTATGATGCCAATGAGACAATGATCCACCAAAGACCACAGTACAAGGATGTGACCAACTACAGACCACAGTACAACCTTCAATAACCACTGGATTGTAGTATCAGGGGTTGGGACAGGCACATAAACAACCAACTAACATCAGAAATTTAATTTTTCTGGAATGTTCTATAACAAAAAGTCTACTTAGAATTAAAGTTTTTACATAAAAGGGTTACCAAATATGTGATTTAGCACCATAAGTCTCAGTCTGTTAATTCAGATATTACTCAATAAAAATTGGGCTATGCAAGTGTGCTGGTTTATAGTGATATTTTCTATTACACAAGTACAAGTTTCATTTGCTTATATCTACAAAAGTTGGTCAACATAACTTTACATATGGGTTCCTGCAAAAATTATACAACCTACCACATTTTGTGCCTGATGTCATTTAGACAAGCTTTCATTCTTGGATTACGTAATTTCAATTAGTATCATATCATATGATCATAGTTATATTCAGCTCCTATAAACCTGCTGTATAATGTGTACAAAAATATCAGGAATTACTCGAATATATTTCACATGAAGCAAACTGAACTAAGGACGGACTAATATCCAAGAAAGAAGGCACATAGAGACTACCAATATTCTAGAGTATATACGATTCACTTTATATAATTTATAGATATTAGAAAAAACAAAAATGATTGCAAAAGTAATAGAACTCAGTCATGTAGAACACTCTTTTCTGAAGATTTTTTTTAAATTTCTCAAAAAAGCTGCAAAAAGTAAGATTTAAACTCCCTTTCCCAGAACGCCATTTCAGAAGTTTCTGGATTTGCCTATGATGAATAAACAAAACTCTTTGGCAGTATGATCTAAGGAATCTGTTGGAATTTTAGTATTTGGTGACTATCAAAAAAATTGCATAAAAAAACTTAATTTGAGTTTGAGGTAGTCTGAGCTTGAATGATATGTAAAATTGTGATCACTCTTTGTACAGAATTTTTTTTTTTGCAAGAGATAGGTAAAGACGAGAAATTGTGCATACACATTTTTTGATAGTGTTAAGCTTTGATTTCAAGTAAAATTTATAACAACGTTTAATTCAAAAAGGGAAAAGAAACCAGCACTTGTTATCTTCTGCAAGAAAATAAAGAGCAAAATGGGATTGAAACTTTGTCTTAGCCTAGAATTTTTACAAAATGAAAAATTAGAAAAATTCCAATAGGAAAATTTTGACAAGTAAAGATGCCATTCATATTCCTTTTCTGATATCTTTGGTATTCTGGTATAGAAGCTGGAAGAGTTGATCAACAGTTCATACATTCTTCATGGTAATAGATAATCTTTGTCCACTTGATAAATGTTGACAGTTTGACCAGTATGTGTGTTTGCATATGTCAAATACAGACAGAAGACAAAGTAAACTTTGCATTACATGGTGTAAGACAAATGTCAAATTTATGATTTATCGACTTATTCAAGATTTCCTTTGATGCTTTAAAGCTAACTTGCTGACATACTCGCAATACTGACAGTGACTCTGATTCAGCTTTTACTTAAGGTTGACATCCAAGTAACAATGAGTAGTAGAGAATTTACATTTTGCTTCTGTACAGTTTTTGGATAGTAAAGAAGGGCTGTCAAAAATTGGTTTCATTGCTCTATGTAAAACAATTGCAGTTACTCAATGCAAAAATTTACAGTTTGTCTGTGTAGATATATTTTTCATAATTATGAAATTTCAACAAATTTTCCAAACAAAATTTATATTAACCTTGACCATATGGTTTTGACTAAATTTTTGTTTTGGTCCAGATCTTAGGAACTACAAGTTAGAGAGGAAGATTTTTTTCAAAAGACATGAGCTTTGGTTTCATGCTTATTTGACTCTATTATGTTTGTGCAAATGTCCAGATGTAATCAAATAACTGATATTTTGTCCATTGACACCTGTTGAATAATAAGAAATAGACAGTACAACAGCTGGATCATGACCTATATTTTATGCTAGAGTGATTTTTAAGTAAAATTTGTATCGTTTTTTGAAATTTATCAGTTTTAGGAATAAGATGTGTAACATATTTGCTGTAGCTCCAATTTTCTTTAATCTAAATTATATTTGTTTTGAAGGCTTAGGAATTACATGTCAGATATAAATGTCATTCTGTTAGTGGACAATCTTTGATTGTTATAAAGATCATATAAAAACTTGGTCATGATAACCCATATTTTCAGACCTATTCCAGATTCTATTTACGATATGTGTGAGTATCCAAAATTTCAAGATAAAGTCAAATTTGATAAAAGTGAGCGGGCAACCTGGGTATAAGTAACTGTTGTCTGGTATGACTGTATTTCTTATTATCTACATAACATTCTTTCAACAAAAAAATCACTGATTTATTACTTTCAGAAAAAAGGGACTAAATTTTGTATTGTTTTTTTATGTCCCATTTAATATCTTCCACTTTGAGTGAAATTGTATTTATATGAAAAAAATGAAATAGACCTCTGCACACAGCAACAATCAATTTTATTTCTGAAAGTGCATGTCAGTCTGGTAAAGTAGTAAATGCACTTTTTACAACCGAACTTCAGCTAACTGATTCAACCATAACACGAGATGACAGAATAAATAGTACTCTTACTATTTTTTATTGTATTTTTTTGTAAATTGATTGTGGTAATTTATGTCCAGTAGTATCGACCATGCAATAAATTGATGGTTGTAGCTGTTTGTCCAGTGTCTGTTCCATCCAAGTAGATGATGGGAGAGAGAAAGTTTTCTTGTCAAGAAGCTTGTATCTTGTAATGACTATAGATTAATTGTTCAATCAAATAACTTCGTAATATATCAGTTCCTTAATAGAATTCAGACAATGTTCTGTTCATTGTAAAATCTTTTAAGACTGGCTATGTGTACTTAATTTTGTTTACTTAGAGAACATTTATGTATACCCATGTTATAATCCTTCAAAATTGCTTATAAAATAAAAAATTACCCTATCTGATACAACTTGGTATGTGTGTTAGAGTTAAGTGCACACGAGTAACTTTAAGTAACCTTCCAGTGAAAGTATGAGAAAAAATACTTTTATTTCATACGTGTAGGAAAAAATAGACTCTTGAGTACAGAAAACATATTCTGTAAACCTGAAAATGTTTTTAGACTAGCAGCATGTTTTGATTTAATTTGATTTTTTTGTTACAGGAAAAAGATTACTGTACCTGCCAAATTAAGTAAAAAATATATACTTTTTCGCCCCTTCCATCAGTTCATTAGTCTGTCCAACCATGCATAGCTTTATTGTTGCCTCATGCTTAAGCCCCTTCATTTTTTGTCAAATCCTCTTCAAAGTTTAATGAAGGTTTCTACAGGTAATTTCCATAGTAAGACAAACCTGAATTGTGGAACCTTTTTTTCTTGAAAGGGGACTTGTAAAAATAACACATATTATTTCTTTTTAGCTCACCTGGCCCGAAGGGCCAAGTGAGCTTTTCTCATCACTTGGCGTCCGTCGTCCGGCGTCGTCCGTCGTCGGCGTAAACTTTTTACATTTTGAACTTCTTCTAGAGAACCACTGAATGGAATGAAACCAAACATGGCATGAATGTTTCTTATGAGGTGCTGACCAAGTGTTGTTACTTTGTAGCCGATCCATCATCCAAGATGGCCGCCAGCGGGGAACTTAGTTTAACATAGGACCCTATGGGAAATGCATACAAATGACTTCTTTTAGAGAACAACTAAATGGTATGAAACCAAACATGGCATGAATGTTCCTTATGAGGTGCTGACCAAGTGTTGTTACTTTGTAGCCGATCCATCATCCAAGATGGCCGCCAGCGGGGAACTTAGTTTAACATAGGACCCTATGGGAAATACATACAAATGTCTTCTTTTAGAGAAACACTGAATGGAATGAAACCAAACATGCCATGAATGTTCCTTATGAGGTGCTGACTAAGTGTTGTTACTTTGTAGCCGATCCATCATCCAAGATGGCCGCTAGCGGGGGACTTAGTTTAACATAGGACCCTATGGGAAATACATAAAAATGTCTTCTTTTAGAGAACCAATAAATGGAATGGAACCAAACATGGCATGAATGTTCCTTATGAGATGCTGACCAAGTGTTGTAACTTTGCAGTCGATCCATCATCCAAGATGGCCCCCAGCAAAGGACTTGGTTTAACATAGGACCCTATGGGAAATACATACAAATGTCTTCTTTTAGAGAACCACAGAATGGAATGAAACCAAACATGGCATGAATGTTCCTTATGAGATGCTTACCAAGTGTTGTTACTTTGTAGCCGATCCATCATCCAAGATGGCCGCCAGCGGGGAACTTAGTTTAACATAGGACCCTATGGGAAATACATACAAATGTCTTCTTTTAGAGAACCACTGAATGGAATGAAACCAAACATGGCATGAATGTTCCTTATGAGGTGCTGACCAAATGTTGTTACTTTGCAGTCGGTCCATCATCCAAGATGGCCGACAGCAGGGGACTTAGTTTAACATAGGACCCTATGGGAAATACATACAAATGTCTTCTTTTAGAGAACCACTGAATGGAATGAAACCAAACATGGCATGAATGTTCCTTTTGAGGTGCTGACCAAATGTTGTTACTTTGCAGTCGGTCCATCATCCAAGATGGCCGACAGCAGGGGACTTAGTTTAACATTGGACCCTATGGGAAATACATACAAATGTCTTCTTTTAGAGAACCACTGAATGGAATGAAACAAAACATGGCATGAATGTTCCTTATAAGGTGCTGACCAAGTGTTGTAACTTTGCAGTCGGTCCATGATCCAAGATGGCTGCCAGCGGGGGACTTAGTTTAACATAGGACCCTATGGGAAATACATACAAATGTCTTCTTTTAGAGAACCAGTGAATGGAATGAAACCAAACATGGCATGAATGTTCCTTATAAGGTGCTGACCAAGTGTTGTTACTTTGCAGCCGATCCATCATCCAAGATGGCCGCCAGTGGGTGACTTAGTTTAACATAGGATCCTATGGGAAATACATACAAAATGTCTTCTTTTAGAGAACCACTGAATGGAATGGAACCAAACATGGCATGAATGTTCCTTATGAGGTATTGACCAAGTGTTGTTTCTTTGCAGCCGATCCATCATCCAAGATGGCCGCCAGCGGGGGACTTAGTTTAACATAGGACCCTATGTGAAATACATACAAATGTCTTCTTTTAGAGAACCACTGAATGGAATGAAACCAAACATGGCATGAATGTTCCTTATGAGGTGCTGACCATGTGTTGCTACTTTGTTGCTGATTTACTGTTCAAGATGGCCACCAGGATATTTTATTAAATAACGGGACCAATATTAATCCAAATTTGGCCTCAATCATTATTATTTGGGTATCTGTTATGATTTTTATCTATCTTTACATGATTTCTAAAACCAAAGTAGAGTCAGGTGAGCGACACAGGCTCTTGAGAGCCTCTAGTTACAATTGTTACAGTACCTTCATTCTTTGTCCTTTCCTCTACAAAATAGGATGATGGATTTGATAGTAAAAAAAATTCTGAAAATAAAGGACTGTTTGTTTGATAAGGGGAATTGTAAAATATTCCAAATTAATTATTTGGGTTGTGTGTAGTATATAGACTCACTCAGTGAAGCTTCTTTCATTTAAAACCCAATAGATTTATTTCAAATAACCATTTGGCTACTTTATTATTGTATGTGATCTGAACTCAGTGGGAAAACTGATGATAGCAATTTGAGCTCACCTGACCCGAAGGGCCAAGTGAGCTTTTCTCATCACTTGGCGTCCGTTGTCCATCATCCTCGTCGTCATCGTTAACTTTATACATTTTGAACTTCTTCTAGAGAACCACTGAATGGAATGAAACCAAACATGGCATGAATGTTCCTTATGAGGTGCTGACCAAGTGTTGTTACTTTGAAGCTGATCTATCATTGAAGATGGCCGCCAGCGGGGGACTTAGTTTAACATAGTTCCCTATGGGAAATACATACAAATGTCTTCATTTAGAGAACCACTGAATGGAATGAAACCATACATAGCATGAATGTTCCTTATGAGGTGCTAACCAAGTGTTGTTACTTTGAAGCCGATCCATAATCCAAGATGGCCGCCAGCGGGGGGACTTAGTTTAACATAGGACCTATGGGAAATATTTACAAATTTCTTCTTTTAGAGAACCACTGAATGGAATGAAACCAAACATGGCATGAATGTTCCTTTTGAGGTGCTGATAAAGTGTTGTTACTTTGAAGCCGATCCATTATCCAAGATGGCTGCCAGCTGGGGACAATGTTTAACAATGACCCTATGGACAATACATACAAATGTCTTCTTTTAGAGAACCTCTGAATGGATTGAACCAAACATGGCATGAATGTTCCTTTTGAGGTGCTGACCAAGTGTTGTTACTTTGAAGCTTATCCTTCATACAAGATGGCTGCCAGCGGGGGGACTTCCTTTCACATAAGACCCTATGGGAAATACATACAAATGCTTCTTCTAGAGGTGCACTGAACGGAATGAAACCAAGCATGGCATAAATGTTTCTTATGAAGTGCTGATGAAATGTTGCTACTTTATTGCCGATTTACTGTTCAAGATGGCCACCAGGATTTTTTATTAAATTACAGGGCCAATATTAAACCAAATTTAGCCTCACTCATTATTAGGGTATCTGTTATGATTTTAATCTATTTTTACATGATTTCCAAAACCAAAGTAGAATCAGGTGAGCGACACAGGCTCTTGAGAGCCTCTAGTTATTATCAGAGGCAAATTTGATTTATCTTTTTGCATAATTTATTTATCGACATGGTAATTACATATACAAAATCAATTTTTGTATCAAATTTAATTGAGTTTTCTTTTAATAAAGATTGATTTTGCCTTGAGATTCGGTATGTAGTGGTTACATTTAAATTAATCAAACAAGATACATATCCTTTAAATGAATATTACATTTTATTTATGAATTATTGAGCATTCTATCCAGAGCTACTTTAGTAAATAATAATTCTATTATGGTAAAACATTTCAAGAATAGAATCGCTAACAGAAATGTTTCTGTAATTTCAATAGCAAAATTACATTACAAATATTAGCAAAGTTGTATTTTTCAATCAACTGCTTTCTGTAATTAGACATAAACGTAGCAATACAAAAGGGAAAAAACAGTCAAGTGTTTTGTATGTATTCAAAGTTTAATAGACTAAGACTGCTTAAAGCAAGCTGTTGAATGGAGGGCTCCAAGTGGAGAAACATGAAGGAGCAGGTCACTCTGGCTTACCATTCATTAGTTTTTTGTGTAATGCTTTGTGGTCTTGTTTGTCTTAATTTGTTTTTATGCCCCCGCCATAGCGGTGGGGGCATTAAGTTTTACCCTTGTCCGTCTGTACGTATGTACGTACGAACGAACGTACGTACGTACGTCCCAAAATTGGTTTCCGTTCTCTAACTTTAGTTTGCCTCAACCAAATGTTATGAAACTTATACACAATGCCTATTACCACAAACCACAGATCAAGTTTGAATTTTGGTGGCGTCACTTTTACCGTTCTAGAGTTATGCCCCTTTACAAATGGAAAAATTGCTGAATTTTTCGTTTCTGTTCTCTAACTTTAGTTTGCCTCAACCAAATGTTATGAAACTTATACACAATGCTTATTACCACAAATCACAGGTCAAGTTTGAATTTTGGTGGCGTCACTTTTACTGTTCTAGGGTAATGCTCCTTTACAAATGGAATAATTTGCCGAATTTTTCGTTTCTGTTCTCTAATTTTAGTTTGCCTCAACCAAATGTTATGAAACTTATACACAATGCTTATTACCACAAATCACAGGTCAAGTTTGAATTTTGGTGGCGTCACTTTTACTGTTCTAGGGTTATGCCCCTTTACAAATGGAAAAATTGCTGAATTTTTCGTTTCCGTTCTCTTATTTTAGTTTGCCTCAACCAAATGTTATGAAACTTATACACAATGCTTATTACCACAAAACTCAGATCAAGTTTGAATTTTGGTGGCGTCACTTTAACCATTCTAGGGTTATGCCCCTTTAGAAATGGAAAAAATTGCAAAATTTTAATTTTCTTCTAAATATCAAGTAATTTTTATTAAAATTTGAGTTATCTTCCTTTGTCCATGATTATAGTTGTATCAACTACAATCAATGCTTTATACAATGCAATGTTTAATTTTGACTTCCACTGAAAAAACACAGATCAAGTTGAATTTGGGTAGTGTCTTTTAAATCATTATTGAGTTATGCCCCTTTATAAATTGAAAGATTGCAAAATTTTTAGTTTCCTTTCTGTAACTTAAGTTTGCCCCAACCAAATATTATGAAACCTATACACAATATTCATTACCACAAAACTAAGATCAATTACAAATTTTTTGTTTCCGTTTTCTAACTTTAGTTTGCCTCAACCAAATGTTATGAAACGTATACACAATGCTTATTACTACATAATACAGATTAAGTACGAAATTTGGTGGCAACACTTTTACCATTCTTGAGTTATGTCCCTTTATAATTTTTTTAATTTTTGCCATGGTGTTGTCAGTTTCTCCTGGAATTGTGAGTTTTGAATGTCCCTTTCCTATATTCAGCCTCTTTTTTAGATTGCCTTTGGGTTGAGGTCAAGTTTTTTTCTAAATTCTTGGTCTGTTCATGATCAATCAAACCTTTTTTAAGTATCTGAAGTATCAACATGCATAATTTTTTTACAAAATACCTTTGCTTTCACAGTTCTCATGAAAAATATAATAGTAAGACACAGAAGATGTTGGCAGTGAATGTGGTATATTTAGGATTACATTAAGATTCTCCTTCTGTTGCATTTGAGTTAAGTCGTTGCTACACTCAAGATACTACATTTTAAGATATTCAACATGTGCTCTGTTGAAAATTTTGAACTAATGAGAATGGGGAAATTTTGTAACTCATGATCGAATAGAGATAAAAATTGTTTCTGTATTTTTTTGCCTATCTTATGTAAACCCCATGATAATGGTGTTGCTCTTATCAAACCTACTAGCACAGTCAGTATGATTTATCTAGCATTCATAGCTCCTAAAATTACTGGTTTATTATGTGAACGTTTTAAACCACATGAGGTTTAAACTTTTGTTATCTACTTGACTGAGTTAATTGTATTCAAAAACTGACCAAGGAAAAAACTTGTTTCATTTATGTGCAGTATGAACATATTTCCAGGCATCAGAGGACAAAAGTTGAGGGCATGCCTTACAAAAAATACATCTCAACTCTAATGTTTGTGCATTAGTTTGACTTTAAGGCATGATACCTTGGAACTCCAGATCCAGAAATTTTTCATAAGGGGGGCCCACTGACTGCCATAAGAGGGGGCCCACTTAGTCATGCTTCAGTGATTCCTTAAATAATCATCCCACAGAAAAGAATGGGGGGCACCCTGCCCCCACCCCCATGCACCCCCTTTCCAAATCTGCCTCTGGTACTTGCTGCAAAACAACAGTTTCATGCCTGTTCAGATAAAGTTAGTATCTTACATCTTAGATTGTTTATACATGTATTTGTATTCAAAGCCAGCCTTTAAATGGAATGTATATAAATTTTAGTTTGTTTGTGTTTTACATAACATTCCGAACTACTGTAAATTCAGAAATTATTGTGAGGATTTTATTAATGTGAGTATCGCAATTATAAAAACTCGCATTCTGATATCTGATACATATATCTGTATGCAGCTTTTGCTCAAATCGCAATAATTAATCTAGCATTTTTGTCCATGATTATTCAAAAGTCGCAATAATAAATGCACAATAATTTCTTAATTTACAGTAACTCTTAATTGTTTTTTAACTACGCAGTAGACATATTGAAATTGACAGGTTGATTAGTCATGGAATTAGGAAATAGAATTAGGACATATCATTATACTAAGTAGATATGTTAATATTTGATGATAATTACTAGAGAAATTTAAGAAGAGGAGCATAGATTTTTAGCTGTATTGTATTTCTTTTGTGCAATGTCATTCTCGTGTGTAGTTTTGCAATATTTTGTCCCAACATTTTGCCAAGAAATAAAAAGCTTGTCAGACTTTACCTTTTCTTTTTTACAGTTGAACTATTCTGTTACTTATGTCCATTAATCAATAATTTTGGGTAGAGAAAAATAATTTTTTCAATCCCCTTTTACAGGTTAGTCAGTAAAAATTCAACATCTATTGCAGTTTTATTGATAAAATGTTTGCACAAACCTTTCATTTGTTCATTCATTCATTCATTTAAGCAAAATAAATGTAAGAACAGGTTTGCTGATTTAGGATAGACAATATATATAAATGTTGTCTGCTGCCAGAAAATATTGGGTATGTCACTTCAGCCTTAATGTATGTCAAGTCAGCCTAGTCTTTCCACCATTATGTCATCTGTCAATTACAAAATATATACTTTTCTAAATTTGGAGACAGGGAAAAAAGTCAGTGAAAGGGTGATAAAAGATCTTGTCAAGATTTTTCAACATGGTCGGGAAATAGTCAGAGAAGCCTCAGCAGACAAATTGATTTAAATCTACATTTGCAGTCTGTATATAGACAATATTTACAGACAAGATATTTGAAAATGACTTATCATGCTGAGCCAAATTAGATTATTGAATTAATTAAAAGAAGTCAATGAGGCTTTCCCTACCATTTAGTAATGTATTGTCTTGGCCTGCTTTGGGCATTGCACTGAATATGAGTGCATTCTGAGGTGTGTTAATACAGCAATTTACAATCAAATAAAAAATCTATGAACAAATGATATGATTTTAATCTCGTGTAGATTTAGACACTATAAAACTCCAGTTGTGCAACTCATCTTCAATTTGGTAAAATACTTGACCATAGGGTACCTTGTGCCCTAGTATACAATTTCAAGGTCATAGGGCAAAGTTTGAGATCAGAAAGCAATATGGATAAACAGCCATTCAAGTTTTGTGGGATACTTCTATGCATGTTGATCTGTTTAATAAACTCTTTGGTTTAGAACATAGTTTTGTTGAGAATCTGGTTCACATGTTCTTGACCTTATCCAACACTAAATCTAATATATTTATTAAGGTTTGAACATTTGTTAAATGGTCAATTATTTTATATTGTGTGCATCTTTAGAATTAACTGTTAAAAGTACATTGTACTAGCTGTAATCTTTACAGAAATCCAAATATCACGACACATGTTGCTATCGCAATGTCATATCTTAATTTTGATTAAAGTTTAGAAATATTCATTAAAGATAATCTTAATAGCATTGCACAGCTTTTAATCAACACCACTTACTGTGCAACAACATTGATTGCTTCTTTTAGCCCAAATTGTGCTACTGTTTAAAAAAAACTTGAGGATACTTCTATGCATGTTGCTCTGTTCAATAAGCTCTTCTGTTTCAAACATAGTTTTGTCATGAATCTGGTTTTCATGTACTTCTATGTATATCTTTTAAGGTTGGAAATTTGTTTAATGGCAATTTTTTGCATTTGCTTATTAAGAATTACATGTTTAAAGCACATGTACTTTAAGCTTTACCAAATATCATGACACATATTGCTATCACAATGTCCTATCTTAATTTTAAGTAAAGTTATGAAATATTCATTACAGATAAAATTAATAGGACTGCACAGCTTTTACCTTACACCTCTTATCACACAACAATATTGATTCATTCTACTTGTATAGGCAAAAATTATGCTTTTGTATGAACACAACTTGAAACAAAAATTTAGGGAAGAGCCTGATTCAGTTTCCCAGTTCATTGCACAATATTTACAGGTGTTCAATTTAATATAAATGCTGATTTTTATTTGTTTCTGTCATATGTTTCCAATCGGTATGAAAACAACCCAACATTATAGAACTATTAGCTATGCCCACTTAATAAATCAACATTGGTTTTGCACATTGATCGTGTACATCCTACAAACAGGTATGGTTTAAATAATTGCTGGTTTTATTTATTTGAAAAAAGAAATTGACACTTTATATATTGTGAATATGAATAATTTATAAAAATATGTAACAAAAAAATATGATCCTATAATAAAGATATTTTTATTAACAACACACAATTCATTCTCTGCAAACTTTTCTGACTATTTTTGATGTTCTTAACCAGAAATTTAAAATAGTAAAACAATCTTCATTCTTTAAGAAGGATATTGTTAAGTAAAAAACTGTTCCTTTTTTAAGTCATCTTGACCATAGAGCTATTTTTCTGTTGTCATCACATTTTTTCCTTGGTCTTTCCATCGTCCATTGTTTATTTGTCTTAGACAATTTACATTTTCATTATCTTTTAGAGACTCTAGTTAAGATATACATATCTGTTCATTGATGGTCAGTTGGGAAATACTCTATATGTTTGAAAAGAATTAGACTCCAAATGCATACAATTATTCATGAACATATTGGAAACATTCCTTAATTGGAGTGTCAGTGATGGCACCAAAAAGACATAAAAACTATTAGTGTAAATAAAAATTGAACCATTGTTGACATTTTAGAAAAGTACATTTTACCAGTAAAAGGAATACCACAAAAACAACTGCAAACTTGATTATAGCTAGGTGCACTTTAACAATGTGGGGTTTAACTTGAACAAATGAATTGTTGATGTTGCATTACATTGTCAATAAAGACAACTTCAGACATATAGGAGTTACATTAAAGCATTATTAAATCTGAACTTATCAGACTTAACTTTTAGTATGCTGATTTGTGAAAATAACTTTTATTTTTTTATTTTCAGACTCGACAATCAATAGCATTAAAGCAACAGAGAAATGTGTTGATTTCATGACTGACATCCTTGATTTCAATAACATTAAGGGATTAAGAAGGTAAATGTACAATTTAGACATTTGTATTAACATTCATGGTGAGAATTAACACAGATTTGTATTGGCTTGTAAAATATCATCTTGTTGACAAAGCAAATTGATCTAGTATAGTATTTATTTGTGGAAAATGGATGTTGTGTTTACTAGCTTGAGCAATTAAAAAGAAAGAAGGCAAAAAGAAAAAAGTGTTAGCATGTCTGTCGATACTGAAATGAGTTCAGCCAAACTGATGTCTCTCTTAAAACTCTATCTTTTTTTGGTTTCTGCATTTAACAGTATGAGATTTGAATGGAGCATAAATAAGAGGTTTTCCATATTTAAATATATTGAGACCTACAATGTAGTTCCATTATACTACAAAATAGATAAGGTGTCTTCTGTTTGCACAGAGAAGTATTGCAACAAGTCTAAATAATGAGTCTTATAATGTCTATCTATATAGTTTATAGCAAAACAATTAAGGTATGACTTGTATCATAATGTCTGCATCTGAAAATAAATCTTTATTCTTAAAGATGTCCAGGCTCATTTGAGTGGACAGGGGTAGATGTTAGGTTCCCCATGGTCTTTAAACTTAAAAAATATATAAGTAAAACTGTTAAAAAAATGATTATTGATGGATTGAGAATTTGTGTGCTGATCAATGACTGTGTAGAGATATTAAGGAAGGTGATCAGACAGAAGAAATTTAATGGCTATCCCATTTGTATTCAAATTACCATACTTGATGAATCAAGTATCAGTATTTCAGACTGTGGTGATTTTTGTGGTCATTGGATAGACCCTTTCATTAACTTTGAGGAGATAAGTCCGACATGCTACATTTAACATTATGATGCTTAAAAGCTTGGAAAGAATTTGTGATTTGATTTCAAGTATACCGCAGATGATTGGGATAAATTTTCTTTGTTTTGGCTTTGTGGCGATTGTAATTTAGGGATTGACAAATTTGTACCTGAACATAATCCGTGAAATTCCAAGTTAGAATTATAAGGCATGAAAAATTATTAAGATATATTAAAAACTTTATTTTAAATTGCAAGAAAGAGATTTTTTTTTCTCCTTTTGTTATGTGATTCATTTAATTGTACTAGAGAGATGGATTATTTTTATTATAAATGACAATATACCATTCCATCCGAACATTAAAAAGGTTAGACTTTGGATTAAAGATCAAATACTTTTAATATAAATCATACTTATATGTTTCATCTTTTGATCTATTACTTTAGTTCTTTAGATGTTTCTAGAACAAAGCTATTCTCAGAACAATGCATCTGAGGGTTTAAAGCATTTTAATATGGTTATACATGTATTGAAAAGTGACAGTTTGGATGCTTAATGAACATCAATTATTCTGATGTAAAATATTTTCATTTGTGAAGCATTTTTTGTGTCTAGTTACTTTTCTAAAACAAAAGCTATTATCAGAACAAAGCTACTAAATGTTTGAAACCATTTGGCATCAATATACATGTACTTCAAAAAGAGGGGTCATATGCTTAATAAATGATCAATGTCCTCCTGTAAATGTTTTTTACTGGAGGATGACATATTGGAGGTGAGTGTGTCGCATCATTCTTAAATTAGTAAGTCTTACTTTGACTTGATTTGTAGTGTAACATAACTATTGTATGGTTGTCAAGCACATGTTGAGCTACTAGGCTTAAGATTTAACAAAAATCTACTAGATATGAATATAATGCATTACATTGATTGCAACGTAAGACTGATTTTCCAGTTAAATAAAAACTGATAATTTCACATGTGAAATAAATCTGATTATTTCACTCCTCTGACATCATACTACAATGAGTGTTGTCAAGACAATGTTGATGATATTGCATCAAAGCAAATTGTGAATGCTTAGAAAAAGATCTAGTGCCTTGTAGTTTATACTTTTTTTCATTAAAAAGCCCATAGTCAATGTAATAAAACAAAAACTAATTTCAAATATTCAAATATCAAAAAATGTTCAAATTGTGTGACTGACAATTGACGTGTTGATGAATTTTTTTTTATATTTGAATTTTTCAATTAGTTATTCTATAAGTAATAGTGACTCTTAAAGGTTAGCAGAATAGGCAAACTTTCATATGTAATAGTGACTCTTAAAGGTTAGCAGAATAGGCAAACTTTCATATGTAATAGTGACTCTTAAAGGTTAGCAGAATAGGCAAACTTTCATATGTAATAGTATGCCATCATTCTGTAAGTGTTCCTGTTATTAATCAAACAATTATTATTTGTTGTTACAGTAATATAATATGCTGCACTTTTAGTAGATTTCAGCAAGATTCTCTTTCTAGAAGCAGCCATTTTTTTAATATAAAAAACTAAGAATAAAAGTAATCCTTTGGTATATTGCCATTTGGAATATCTAGATAGCTCTTTCTTCCAGAGATGTTTTCAAATTAGTCATTATCTGTTAATTGCCTGCATCGTAATACATTTTTTGTACTTGCAACACAATGAATCCTCTTTAATTTGAAATTATTTTGAACTGGTTTCATGCAGCAACATAGATATTTCTGCTTTTTTTTCCTATTATACTGAATTTATAGCTTGAAGATAAGTTTCTGGAATTGCAAATTGGACAAGATGTATAATTAGGATTTCTGTATAAAACCATTATTAGACAGACATAAAAAGGTCAAATTTATTACAAAAAATGTCACCAGGGATAATGGATTTTTGACTATATATCAGTAATAAATTAACAATTTTCTGACCACAGTGTCAGGATAATGATGAAAATGCATTTTTCCCTATATCCTTCTCAATCAAAAAGGAAGCATTATATATAGTATATTGATAAAACTTAATATTAAATCAGGAATCTCAGTACAAGATGACCTTAGAATTGTTTATGTCAATAATGAATATTATTGTGTTGTTGCTACATGTAAGAAAATGTTTTATTACCAGAATGTGTCATTAAACTGACTAGAAAAAAGCAAGCATTACTGAATGTAAAAGCCATCATCTCTTTTAAAGAAGGAGAATCTGTCAACCATCATTTTAATTTTAAAGTGCGATTTATTGCTTGAGATAACATAATATTTTGTGCATCAACAGCTTGTCAGAAATGATCATTTTTACCAATTTAAAAGATTGGTTCAGACAATGAAAAGCGTTTTCAGAAGAGATAGAGGTGTGAAATATTTCCCATGTGTATTCCAGTAGAAATTATCAAGTCTAATAGCACTTGTATAATATATAGCATTATATAATATTCAAGATCATATCACTTATATATGGACATAGATAGACATCACCATTTAGAAGTTTACAAATACAGATCAACATATTAAAAACAATCCTATTTGACGTTTTGGATGACTTTTTTTGTCATTTTGTGTGTTATTACTAGAATACATGATCAAACATTTTACCTTTATATCCAGTTTACCAAAATGTCAAATACCATAAATCATGCAGCATTATGTTGGCAAATCTGAGATATAAACAAATTATGAAACTCACAGATAGATAGATAAATTCATAATAAAATGCTCCGCAGGGCGCAGCTTGATACGACCGCAGAGGTCGAACCCTGAACAGTTGGGGCAAGTATGGACACAACATTCAAGCTTGATACAGCTCTGAATTTGGATTGTGATTAAATATTTGACACAGCATAGGTTTCTGACACAGAATGAATGTGGTCTAAGAACTTAAAAATTTTAAATTGGACATTCACCTATTATGGTCCAATATCCAAAATCTAAATACATGGTTAGATTCAGCATATCAAAGAACCCCAAGAATTCAATTTTTGATGAAATCAAACAAAGTTTTATTTTAGACCCTTTTGACCTCAATGTGGACAAAGTTGATAACGGGGCCCAAAAATCAAAAATCTAAATACATGGTTAGATTCAGCATATCAAAGAACCCCATATATTCAATTTTTGTTGAAATCAAACAAAGTTTAATTTTGGACCCCGATTTGGACCAACTTGAAAACTGGGCCCATAATCAAAAATCTAAATACATGTTTAGATTCAGCATATCAAAGAACCCTAAAAATTCAATTTTTGTTAAAATCAAACTAAGTTTAATTTTGGACCCTTTGGACCTTAATGTAGACCAATTTGAAAACGGAACCAAAAATTAAGAATCTAAATACACAGTTAGATTCCGCATATCAAAGAACCCCAATAATTCAATTTTTGATGAAATCAAACAAAGTTAAATTTTGGACCCTTTGGACCTCAATGTGGACCAATTTAAAAACAGGGCCCAAAATCCAAAAACTTAATACACGGTTAGATTCAGCATATTAAAGAACCCCAAGAATTCAAGAATAAAACCCCATTGAAATTGATCAAGAAATAAGCAATTTATACGAAGTATCTTCTTTTGCACAATACTGTGCAATTGAATATTTCTTGCTATTGCGCAATACTGTACAATTGACAATTTCTTGCTATTGCGCAATATTGTGCTATTGGATATTTCTTGCTATTGCGCAATACTGTGCAATTGAAGATTTCTTGCTATTGCGCAATACTGTGCAATTGAAGATTTCTTGCTATTGTGCAATACTGTGGAATTGAAAATTTCTTGCTATTGCACAATACTTATTATATAATAATTTACACATCCTGTTTGGTGTGTATCTCCTACCATATCATTATTATTTGCTTTTAAATATAAATCAGAAATAACCAACTTAAAATGGAAAATTTTAAAAGAAAAAAAAAAGGAAAAAAAGAAAAAAAAAATCCCCCCCCCCCAAATTTTTTGAACCCCCTTATGATTCATCATCCCCAAACTCAATCCCAGCCTTCCCTTTGTGGTATGGTACCTTGCAGTACAATTTCAGAGAGATCCATACACTTGAACACAAGTTATAGTCTGGAAACTAGAAAAATGCTTATTTTTGGCCCCTTTTTGGCCCCCAATTCCTAAATGTTTAGGGCAATTACCCCCAAACTCAATTCCAGCTTTCCCTTTGTGATATGGAACCTTGTAGTACAATTTCAGAAATATCCAAACACTTACACACAAGTTATTGTCATGAAACTAGAAAAATGCTTGTTTTTTGCCCCTTTTTTGGCCCCTAATTCTTAAATTTTGGGTCAATTACCCCCAAAATCAATTACAGCCTTCCCTTTGTGATATGGAACCTTGTGGTACAATGTCAGAGAGATCCATACACTTACACACAAGTTATTGTCTGGAAGTTACAAAAATGCTTATTTTTGGCCCCTTTTTGGCCCCTAATTCCTTAACTGTTGGTACCATAACCCCCAAAATCAATCTCAACCTTCCTTTCGTGGTATTGAACCTTATGGTAAAATTTCATGGAGATCCATTCACTTAAACTAAAGTTAGAGTGCGAAAACCAATGTGTCTTTGGACGACGCAGGACGACGATGGACGACGACAACAACGATGACGCCAACGTCATACCAATATATGACCAAAAAATTTTCAATTTTTGCGGTCGTATAAAAAGGAACACACACTACCAATCTTTCCAACTGATTTAAAAGTTTGTTTTTATGCTGTATTGTTACACTGTCTAAGGTAAGAGAAGGGTTGAGCACTTTAAAACTAAAAAAAAACATATCATACTCCACAACATTCTTTAAGTGACTGTCCCAAACTAGGAACCTGTAATCCAGTAAATGTAATTGGTTGCTGTCTGAAATAATTGTTTTGTATTCATTGTTGTTCATGAGTTCAATAGATGTATGCATGTACCAAACCATAAACCCAATAGATTGGAACCAATTACATTTGTAAGCAATCTATTATCTAAAGACTCTGATAGCATGAAAAGAACAGTGAGAACTCAATATGAGGGCATCTATGATATGTATGTTTTTCTAGAAGATCAAACAAAAATATGATCTGAAAAATTCTCTGATAGGTTTAAGATATGGTAATTTTTAAGGAACCTATATATAAATCATAAAAATTATTTTGTTTTGTTCAGAAATTTAACACTTGAACAAGATTGTATGTCTTTTGCCAGTATTTTTAGATTGCTGTGAAGACATATGATCATTAGCACACAATGTAAAGCATTTAGTCGGAAGTGAAGAAACTTGTTAAGGCAAGAGAACAGTGGTGTTTTATCATTGATTTTGTCATTGAAGGGAAGTTGTTATTTTCTAATTTATCATTTACTTCTGCAAAAGTGATTGTCAATAATTATCCAATGTTTAAGAAATCATCTGACATACTATTTTTTTAGTTTGAAAGTTTGTGGACAAAAGAAATGTCAAATGTCATACGCAGGACATTTTAAAGATTTTGTGGTATTTTGTGCATCATAAAAATGTGAAATGCAAATGAAACCAACTCATGCATATAAAGTCAATGTTTAAATATACAAAATTGGGACTTACTTTCAACTGCTATATTTTGTCATGGTTATGGGCATGTACCGGTAGTAATTCTTTGATATTAGATTATCTTAAGTATTGCTTTTCATAAAGCATTGATATTAATGGTCTATTAATAATATCATTGATTTCTAGGCTTTTTATCAATTGTTTTTTTTAATGTGCATTTTAAGAGGATCATTCAGGAACCTCTTTTGTGAATTTTTTTAAAAATGTTGGTTCGTTTATATGTTTCGAAGTTTAGTGCGGTGTCCATTTCACTGAACTAGTATACATTATTGTTTAGGTGTGGTATTTTCTTGCTTTGTTGAGAACCCATTAGTGGCCTTGGGCTGTTTTCTGCTCTTTAGTCGGGTTGTTGTCTCTTGTGAACATTCTCTGTTTCCATTCTCAATTCTATTTTATAGATCAAGACCATAGGTAGGGAGGACATTCACTAGTCAAAAACTTATATTTCGTTTTTTTTTTTTATTGTCTTGCCTGCAACCAAAGTCCTGATGGTGAGACACAGCTATTGTACATTCATCTCCAGCTTTTTCAACATTTTAGGTTTAACCTGTGGTTAAAGTTTTTTTTTAAACATTAAAAAAACTTTGTTTAAACTTCTTAGAATTTAACAAAACTTGGACAGAATCTTATTCATGAGCAAGAAGAAGGATCCAGAGCAAAATTTTGAAAATATTTTTCTTCTTTTTTAGTATTGAACTGATAAGTTGACATTAAGATACATTTTAGAGTAAACATAGTTCTGGAGAACCTCTAAGATTTTTCTTCTTTATAATTTGGATTTGATGCCAGGTCTTAGTATTCTATGTAACTAATTCTCAACTTTTCGAAACTCAGAAGAACATATGGTTATAGGAAATGCCTATTGTTAAAACCATAAAATAAACTTAATATATCTTTTTTTGGTAAACTTGTATCATTTGTTTGATGTCTTGTTGACATTTAATGGACATCACCATATTCATAATCAGATTAAGAATCTGGCTTTGTTATATCTTCATTAAGCTGCCTGTTGCTGAAGATGATGATTTTCTTTACAAGAATTAGGTTTAAATTCATGATTAAGAAACTTTGCACAGCTTTATATCAAAATTTGTGTAATTAAAATATTCAAAATAAAGTTCAAGATATTCTAAATCCATCTTCTAATTGGTTTTAGAATCTTAGGGAATAACCCAATGTACCTTCTTTTACTTGAAATTGAAGCAGTTCATGCTAGAAGTGTGCCTTATATTGAAAGATAGGCTGTTTTTCACTTCAGTAGAACTACATCAATCAATACTTCTTTTATAAGCAATTGCATCTGTAGCATATTTTTAAAGATATTTGAAGTTCAAATGAAGACATGTGTTAAACAGTCTAACAAAGTGAATGCAAATTTTCCAGTTGAATTGCATTTAACCGTTAGAAATCACAAAGTCAAGAACCATTCATCAACAAATTTTCTTCAAAAGAAATAATTCATTGACTGTAAATAAAAACAGGTATCCCTTGCTCATTGAGTTTAACCATTTTATAAGTAAGACACTGGAAACAAAATTATATTCTAAGAAGGATTTCACCCTGTACAAGTCATTGCAACTTTAATCATTACTATGCTATTCGATTTGATCATCCTTTTTTAACACTTAAAAAAAGACATGATTTACTCCTACCAGTTTATGACCCCGTTCACACTTGTACAAAATTGAATCGATCTTAAAAAGACCAGTTCGCGTTTACATTTGCACAAGCAAGATCGATCGAGATCGATCTTATTTAATCTTATGCGTTTACACTGCAACATAAAAAGAACTGGTCTGACCTTATTACCTTACATTTCGTAAACACACACTGCAAAATCATGGAGAAAATAGTTGGATCATTGGAATTTCGTATGGAGTTATTAATTATCTATTTGGTTCACTCGTCACATGTCATTAAACAAAGATATGTGATAAGACTGTCACTTAAAAAGGAATGGTCAATGCGTTTGAAGATGAGGATTTGCAGCAAAGAAAAAGAATTTATCTATTCAGAAGAATGATCCAAAAACGGCGGAATCTATGTTTACTTTTCTTATCCCATCCATCGTTTTTAAACACGTATATTTTTGCCACCGCAAATGTGCAGATTTATTTTAATATCTAAATATAACATTTATTTGAAGAAAGATCGATTGTGATCGATCTAAGCATTTATACATGAAGAAAGATTGATTCAATTAAGATCGATCTTTTTAAATTTAAACCACCTCTGGAGGTGCACTTTTAAGTACGATTGAAGATAGATCTTTCCTGTTTGAATTAGACTAAAGATCCATCTTTTTAAGATCGATCTCATGAAAGATCAATCTTTTTTACAAGTGTAAACAGGGTCTAAGATAGAAGTTTTCAATCCATTCATTGAAGGCTGTAGGATATACTCTACTTTCCTCAAACAGTGTAATATAGAAAGTGACCATAATGAAAGAAAATGGATTCATCAATTGCATTATTATGATAATTTTGCATTATTGTCTAATTTGAATGATTGATAATGCAAATAAGATGCTTACTTCTTCATTTAAAATCCATAATTGTCTCTTGCCAATAATCTGCATTTTGCACAGTCTCTTTTATTAAAATTCATTTCATTTATGTAAATTCCCTGTTTGCCTCCCTGTCTAATCAGATACCCACATTGTATTTTTATCTGCTCAACAAGTTGTTTTCCGTAGAATTCAGTTTCCTCATTGATTTTGCCCCAAAGCAATTTTTTAAATGCTATAATAATCCTTTTCAGGATGACGGATTAGATAAAGATCTCAAACAGAACAGAAAAACTGCTAGCAGTGACCGTTGTTTTCATGAACAGAAAAGCCCTGATTTTATCAGAAATATTTATAGTTTTACAATTACAGCTTTATAATGGTGGCATAAATCACATACCTGGTAAAAACCGATAATGGTATTTAATAACTTAATTCCTTACACCTATCAAATACCATTTTAGCAATATTTTGTGCTTTTGTTTAAAAATTATTGATATTTTAATGGTACGCTTACTCAAATTGTATGTTTCAACAGTTATTTGAGAGTTTTAACAGCTTAATATATATTTATGTCTTGTTAGATTATTTTGTTTATCAGTTAATTAGTAAATTAAATCTACAATAGGAGGTGATTAGTTTTATATCAGTAAAATACATTAAACTTCCAATGCCAACAGAACACAAGGGAAATAACTCCCAATAATTTGTCAATAACATTGTGAATATCAAAATTGAGATATTCTTACATTTAACATATAATTTTTGCAATGTTTTGAAACTATGGCAAAATATTAGCTTGAAAAATATATGATTCTAGATAGATATTTTCAACCTGATGCCTCTAACCAATAAAGGTTTTGACTATTACTGTTTTGGCCAAATTATTACATATATGTAAATATGAAAAGTTTTATATCCATGAAAAGCTTAATAATCTTAAAAATATGAAAAGCTTAATAGTCTTAAAAACATAAAAAACAATCTTAATAAAATGCTCGTGAGGCGAAGCTTGATACAACCGCAGAGGTTAAACTCTGAACAGTTGGGGAAAGTATGGACACTTACATTCAAGCTTGATACAGCTCTGAATTTGGATTGTGATTTAATATTTGACACAGCATAGGTTTTGGACACAGAATGAATGTGGTCAAAGAACTGAAAAATTTGAAATTGGACTTTTACCTATTATAATCCAAAATCTAAATGCATTTTAGATTCAGCATATCAAAGAATCCCAATAATTCAATTTTTGATGAAAGCAAACAAAGTTAATTGCTGTACTCTTTGGACCACAATGTTGACCAATTTGAATGACCAAAATCCAAAATGATAGGCAGAAAGAAGTAACTATATTTGCACCTACCTTTGATGCAGACTTTAATCATTAAGCTCAATAACAATGTTATGTATGAATTGATGGATCTGTTTGAAATGTTACAATTTTGTCTATCATACATCTGTCACTGTAAATTATCATATTTCATAGTGACATGTGTGGTTTAACAGAAAACAAGTTTGACCCAAGGTTCGTATTAAAAGCTTTAAATCAGTTGTTTTAATATTGTTTTCAGAACCATAGATAATTTTAAATACCCCATTTAATTTCATCTTTTTTCAATTATTTAACAATGTCCATTGGTATTTTCAAAATGCAAATTCTCTTGGATAAGCATAGAAAAGCTTTTCCGATACGTATATGAATGCACAATGTAAAAGTGTGAAACTGCATTCAGTGGGTTTTGATTTGATGCCCAATAATTGAGGTTCATGATTATTATTATTAGGTAAGTATCCATAGCAAGTTTGAGAATAAAAGGGAATTGTTCATTTAAAATTGTTAATCATCTGATTATGGAAGCTCTTGAGTTATAGGCTAAAGACTAAGACCAAAATACTACTGTTAGTGCAAAGCAATTTATTGTCTTACAGAAAAAAATTGATTTGTTTGGTTTTGAATGTCTTCAAATGTTCTTGTTAGCGAGATTGGCCTGAATTGTAGACTGCCTTAGCAAGAGCTTCTTCCTTTCAAGGGCACTTGGACAGTATGTGTGATCTGAAGGAGACACATTGACAGGTTATTATTATAATTTCTAGCAATAATTTAGAAAAGAGGAAAAATTGTTATTATATACTCGAAGTACAAATAAATGAAAATTTCAGTTTTTATGCCCCAGCCGCTTGGAGAAGGCTTTAAGGGGCACGAAGTGTTACCCTTGAAGATCCTTCTGTCTTTCTGTCTGTCCCATTTTTGTTTCCTCACTCTAACTTAAGGATGTTCACTACCCTGTTTCAAAATAACAAACTTTTAAAAGACTGTTATAAATTGATAGTATATGAATAATGGAACCAAGAAAGCAGAAAAAAATGAAGGGTCCGTGTGCTTGTTTTTCGAGATATAAGCCTTTGAAAATTTGGCGGGAAATGATTCTCTCTAGATTTTTCATGCATTTAACATTAGCACCTTTTTTCTTTCAAAAACAACGAAAAAATAATAAGGATTTTATAAGATTTTCAAATATGGCTTTTAACGTTTAAACCTGCTGCATTTGTTTGCACCTGTCCTAAGTCAGGAATCTGATGTTCAGTAGTTGTCGTTTGTTGATGTGGTTCATAAGTGTTTCTCGTTTCTAGTTTGTTATATAGATTAGACTGTTGGTTTTCCCGTTTGAATGGTTTTACACTTGTAATTTTTGGGGCCCTTTATAGCTTACTGTTCGGTGTGAGCCAAGGCTCCGTGTTGACACTGTTGAGTACTGTGACCTATAATGGTTTACTTTTATAAATTTTGACTTGGATGGAGAGTTGTCTCATTGGCACTCATACCACATCTTCTTATATCTATTTAAAACTATATGTAATAAAATTATGAAAAGAAAAGTAAGGGTTAGTGGACAAAATTATTTAATGGCCAAACATGGATAAAACCAGAGGATTCCAAAAATCTGGCAAAAATTCAAAAACAAGAGGAGCGAACATCCTTAATTTTTTCTCATTCAAATTTTATGAAACTCATTCACAATGCTAAGAACCAAAACCTGCAAACAGAGTTCAAATTTGGGCAGCAAGTCCTCAGACACATTCTTCTTTTATTTTTTATACAATGTAACTGATAATTATAGGTAAGTCGTGATTGCATGTCCATGTTATACTGTAATATGACAAATGTAATAACTGATTTGAGGATAATAATTATAGCCAAACATTTCTAAATTGATTAGCAATTTGCATGTACAGCTGAATATAATTCAATTTGCTTGGGAGTTCTAAGCTCAGAGAAGTACCCTTCAGTGACTTAATTAGTATTGTATTGTTAAAATTTAGAGCCAAACTTGTTTATTTTTTACGTCATACTACGTTTGGGGATGATTCAGATTGATAATGAATAAACCCATTCATTGTCTTGTGCATTTTAATTTGCATGATAAAGAATAAGGAAACGTTTGTACTTTTTTGTCTCCCAGTCATTCAGTATGTTAAGGTAATTAGATAAATAAATGGATTTTTGCAACACATGTTCTGATATCTTTTACCAAATGTGAAATGAAAATGTGTGAAGAAAAAATTAAGAAGACAATTTATTGCTCAAACTCTTATCAGTTTCCTATACCATAAGTTTCCATGCTGAAAACCATTTGAAATAATAGGTTTGCTCATCCAACATCTCTTTATCGCTATTCAAAAATCTTCCAAGGAAATTGAGGTTTCTTGTTCAGTAAAAATCATTGTTTTCACTCTCAAAATATAGAAATAAAATTCTTTTATGGTTCATTTTGAACAAATTTAAATGACTGTCAGGGAAAATCACATGTACAAGAAAATAAATTTAAGTTTCTACTGGTAGTAATTAGACTCTTAAAGAAATTAGATTTGTGCTTGTCAATTGAATTTCCATGTTTTATTTCCTAGAACAGTAGTCTAGTTTATGGGTAATATAATCTGGGAGCATGTTCCATGTGTATAACAATAAATGATTAATATTATAAAATTAGTGGAAGATCATTAAATAAAAGACTTCTTTGAATTAAGTAATAGCAAAGAAAAAGGATATTTTTACTTAAAGATTGGTTATACAACAGTGCCATAGTAGATATTTTGTACTGCTGAAGTCATTGTCATTGTAATGAATATGTCATTTTGTTATGCCCCTGTTGCTAGTTGGCAGGGCATAAACTTAAACCCTTGTCTGTTTGTACGTTTGTAATGTCCAGAAATATGTTTCCATTCTCTAGTTTGCCTCAATCAAATGTTATTAGACTTAATCCCAAAGCTTATTACCACCAAATACTGATCAAGTTCGAAATTTTGGTGGCGTCACTTTCATTGTTCTCGAGTTATGTCCCTTTATAAATGGAATAAAAGGCTTCGCTGAGCGCAGCCTGATACGACCGCAGAGGTCAAACCCTGAACAGTTGGGGCAAATTTGGACACAATATTCAAGCTTGATACTGTCTGAATTTTGATTGTGATCAAATTTTTGACATAATATAGGTTTCTGACACAAAATAAATGTGGTCAAAGATCTTATAAGTCCATTGCGCAATACTGTGCAATTGAAGGTTTCTTCTTGAAACTTTTCAAAAATTAGAAATTTTAAAAATGTTGAAAAAAAAATATGAATCCCTTTAAAAAAATTGGGAAAAAAATCGGCCCCCCCCCCCTAACTTTTTGAAACCCCCCTTGGAGCAATAACCCCAAAACTCAATCCCAGCCTTTCCTTTGTAGTATGGAACCTTGTAGTACAATTTCAGAGAGATCCATACACTTACACACAAGTTATTGTTTGGAAACTAGAAAAATGCTTGTTTTTGGCCCTTTTTTGGCCCCTAATTCCTACATGTTTGGGGCAATTAACCCCAAACTCAATCCCAGCCTTCCCTTTGTTATATGGAACCTTGTGGTACAATGTCAGAGAGATCCATACACTTACACACAAGTGACTGTCTGGAAACTAGAAAAATGCTTGTTTTTGGCCCTTAGTTCCTAAACTGTTGGCCCCATAACCCCTAAAATGAATCTAAACCTTCTACTTGTGGTATTAAACATTGTGGTACAATTTCAGAGCGATCGAAATATTTATACACAAGTTATTATCCTGAAACTAGAAAAATGCTTTTTTTGGGCCCCTAATTCCTAAACGGTCGGGACCATCATCCCCAAAATCAATCCCAACCTTTCTTTTGTGGTATTGAACCAACTTAAAAATTTTCGTAGGATCCATTCACTTAAACTTAAGTTATTGTCCGGAAACCAATGTGTCTTCGGACGACAACACAGACAACGACGCAGACGACGACGACATACCATTATACGATCCCAAAAAATATTTTGTGGTCGTATAAAAATTGCTGAATATGGGGTATATGGACACATTCTTCTTTTGTTTTTCATTTATTGTTTTGG